AAAAAAAAATTTCTGGTTGTCTTAAATGTTTCCCTTATATTTTGTTTTAACTCACCTCCAATTTCATTTTGTGAGGCACCTTGTGCGAAGGTGTATAAGGGCCAATTTTCATTTGAATAATTACTGGGGTTTTTGTTTTTGTTTGTTTTTTTTACGACAAAGTTAAAGTAGTATTTTGATTTTTTTCTCAAAATCCTTTATCAAAAAATTAATTAATAAAAAAATCCTTTTATATTTCTTTTGTCAATGTGACATACGACATTAATACGCTTTATTATTATTCATGTAGGACCATCTTTTGAGCGCCCCCTGTTGCAACACTGGTTGAACTGCAGCCCGTTTCTGTGCGGTTGGATAAACAGGAAGTGGAATGGCTCTCCCGGATCTGCTCTGGAACGCCTGATGCTCTAACCGGAAGCTGCAGGATATCGTGTTCGTTGAGCGCAGAGGAAACAGCAGGTGTGTCCGCAGGCTTTTGGAGGTGGTAGGTATTTGTTTAGGAAAGAATCATGCTGGTTCCAGTTTTCAACACACAAGTATGAGGCTGGAGTCAGCTAAATTATTTTCTTTACTTTTTTAAAGGGTGGAAACAGAAATGTGGTAAAACACTTTCCAATTTGCGGCTGAGTTAAAGTGGCTCCCGGCTGCTGCTTTCTTTGAAAGTATCAAATGTGAGAATTTCATCCGTCTTCTTATACAGTTTTGCCTGAAAAACAACTCATATATTTAAGGATTTATTTTTAAACGAAATAGTGATATTTTTGTCATGTCATTGCGTGGGGTTGTTTGAGACTGTTTCTTAAAAAAAAAAAAGAAACTGTGATATCTGATTTCTGATTTGACTTTAAAGCTGAATGGAGAAATGTGGGCTGAGGGTTGATGAAATGAGTAAACACAACACAGAAGCTGATGAGATATTTGTCAGACAGACCTGTGTAAATTATGTCCAGATGATGGAAAGAATAATTTGAAACATAAATGCTGATTGTTAGCTTGTCATTACTACTTAATTCAGCCTCGCCACAGTGTACTGATATGATTTATGTTTCAAAATGTCAAGTGAAAGTGTGCTGACTGAGCTCTATTTCCAGTCTGTACTTGCAGCTTGTGCAATACATGAAAATCACCACACTGGCTGTTGTTCACTGGCTGAGGTGGGTTGATGAGGACTGCATTCCCTGCCATATTTCGCATGTCAGACAGGGTATGAGAGTGAGTCTGTGTTGCCGTGTCAGTCATCCCGCCTCTTGTTTTAGGATGCCCCCATTAGACGCAGGGCAGACGGTCAGCGGTGGTGGGACTAAGCACTGATGACAAGCTCCTGGAAAGGCTGCAGTTGAGGAGAATGAGCAGAGCCTGCACAGGGACCGGCCCGAGCCTCAGACATGTATGCGCACACACACACACACACACACACACACACACACACACACACACACACACACACA